AAAAATGCAGAAAATCAAGATTTCAACATATATATATCAGGAATAAATCAGTAGTTTTATAACATTGATTATGGTTGAATCTAGTTATGCATGCATGACTTACAGGGTTGAGTGTGTTGTGTTGTTTGAAGCTGTCTTCAAGAAAAGCAGATTGTTGTTTGGTGAGCCTTAACTTGTTTTTTTTTTTGATATATCATTCTTCACATGTATGTCCTTCTTCCTTTTCTTGTTCATGACTTGTTGATCTCGAAATATCCCTTGTTGATGATCCACCATCTACTTGAGTGATCATATTGCTGTTTGCATTAGTATTTTTCAATCCTTGGAAGTAATCCCTTTTCCTTTGGGGGTTTCTGAAAATCGAAACTTCCATCTGAGATGATGATGAAAGTGCTTCCGGAGCCCCTTCTTCCGCTTCATCAATATCTACTCTCCGGCTCAATGTACACCAGTTCAGGGTGACAACTGCCAAAACATTACAAATATACGGAAAATTAATGTACATTATTCATGGGACCAAATTAATTAATATTGTAAATTAGTGAGAAAAGTTAATTAAGTAGTGGTTGGTGATGAAGATGGGGTTTTGTGAAGCCGCGGTGATAAAGGGAGCAGATTGAGCTGAAGCGGTGGAGGGTTTTCTCTACAGACGACGTTTCTTCCACTACATGCATTTCTGCAAATCCATGCAAAAATTATTCATGGATTTACAGAAAGGTTTCTTTGGTGGGTCTGGGTCATGACCTAAGCTCAAAGCCAACTCCATTGGCAATCTATTTTTTTGGTTAAAGGTGATTGAATTGTGTGCGCATGCATATTATTATATTTATGGGGAAGCTTAAAATGCATATGAAATATTGTACAACGAAGAGAAAATAAGAGCTGCCAAGTGTTTTTGGCAAGGGGCACGTGAATTTATATAAATGTGGTACCAATGATTCATGGTTTTGGGATCATTGCAATTATTGAATTCACGCATATTTTAATAACAATAATAATTCTAATATATTCATTTGCTGCATCTATTTTTAATTTTTATTATTGCTGTTATTTTTAATTTACTTTTATAATTATAATTGGTTAATAATGAGAGAGTAGTGATTGAAATTTTGAAAGTACAATAATATAGGAAGGTTTTGGATTCATGGTCTTGCCCTTTTCTACTAAATCAGCATATGTTCTATTCATTCTGTAGCACATATATACTACTTATATTTCTACTTTCCACTTAAAAAATGTAGTGCTTTTTTTTAAATATTTTTACAAGCAATTATTCACTTTATTGTGTTAGGGTACTAATTTGAAAGAAACCGATATGATAGGTAATATGGTCAATGAAAACAAGTACTTTTCTCGAGCAAATAGATATCGAGACAGAGAACTGTAACTTTAACCTTAGAGTGGATCATTTATTAGTTGACTTGGGAGTTGAATGAAGAAAATGAATTTGGAATTGGAGATTTATCTATACATGTGGGGCTAGTGCATCTTGCTAGTACCACACAAATATAAAAGAGAGACAAAAATACATAAAATGTGAAAAAAAAAAAGAAAAAAAAAAGAAAAAATGCGGGCAATCACAACATAATAGACTAGGAACTTCTAAAAATAAACCGAAATAAAGTCACTCAAGACCAATAAACACAGAAAAAATGACAAAAACATGAAATAATTAATAAAACGGCATTCGCAAGTATTGAGTTAAATTGCATCTGAAGTCGTAACCTATTCATCTGGATTCAGAATATTCAGCAATTGGTAATGCAGAACATATATATATATCAAAGAGTTGGTATGCCCAACTACACAACACAAAAAGCATGAATTAAAGTTAAACACCCACACCAAAGCCATATATTAATATATTTAATTATTCAAACCTAGTCTTGACGGTCGGGCGCTAACGAGTATTGATTGCAATTTAATTGACTGATTAATCGAGGGTTTACATTAGAAAATAGCTGCTTATATGGTAACAGTAATCATGTGTTTGTGGGAGAGATAAAATGAAAGAATAAGTATTTATGAGAGGAGTGTGTGCAGTTATTTTCAGTTTATTGTATGTTTATGAATCAAACACAATAATACATACTACCTCCTTTTTATAATAAGTGTCGTTTTGACTTTTTTGATTCATCCATTTTACTATGTATCTAGACATATTAATGTCTAGATACATAGCGAAATATGTCTAGATACATAGTAAAATGTAAAATAGATGAATCAAAAAAGTCAAAACGACACTTATTTTGAAAAGGAGGGAGTACTTTATTTTACGATTCATAACAGGGTTTGTGGATTGTTTATTTTTAGTGTATATTTGGTACACAAAATAAGCAATTTTTTAGTATTTTGAGTCTACTGCTTATGAACTGGAAAAACGAGGTGTATTGTTGTTATCTGCTGGAGTATGGTTATTTATGTATTGTTTATCTTAAGTGTATGTTTGGTATACAAAATATGGGATTATTGGTGACTTTAAGTGAAACAATTACTACATCACCATGATATAATAAATGAGTTAAAAACGAGGTATATTGTTGTTATTTTTTTGGTGGTATATGGTTTTTTTATGTATATTTTATTTTGATTATAGTGGACTTGGACAATTTTTTATACTTTTTTACATCTTAAAGAGCACTTATAAAGAGTTTTGCATATCAGTGTTATATAAATCATTGCAATGAAAATAAGTAAAAAGATATACAAAATTCAAACACCGCAATGGTATAAATAAAACGCAACATATACTAGAAATATTGTCTATAAACTCAACATATATTGTTCATTCCAAATTCCCTAAATATGTTCACTATTGTACTTCTCTTACTGATAAACTAAATATAAAACTGAATTTTGATTGTAATGGGATAGGACACTTTTTTATATTCTTTTACATCTTGAAGAGCACTTATAGAGTTTTGCATATCAATGCTGTATAGATAATAGGTATAAAAATAAGTAAAGAAAAATATAAACAAAATTCAAACATCAAAATTGCGTAAATAAAACCGCAACATATATTGAAAATATATTGTCGCTAAACTCAACATATACTGCTCATTCGAAATTCCCAAAAAATATGTTTGCTACACTACTTCTCCTACTATTATAGCATTTGTTTTAACCTTGTACCTCCTTCACCGATGATACAACTGTCGGCGACGCTGTAGCCAAAACTGTCGGCTCCTATGACGTCACCCTCACCAACGACGCTCCCGTTCAGTCGCCGATCCTCCACATCGAGAACGAGTTCTCGATCAATCGCGCCCTCTACCAAAAATAATGTAGGAATTCTTCCGTCCGCCCTTTGGTCGAGCCACATATTTGATGTGCCGTCTCCGATGAACCACCGCTCTGAGGTCCGTGCGTCGTGCATCGCAGCATCATGGGGCGGGTGTAGCCCGCAAATCCACGTTCTCCAATTAACGTTGTCCATGCGCCGTGCATCGCACCACCGTGAGCGAACTAATCCGCAGATCCGGCTGAAAAATCGTTAGAGTCGGGGCTTGGATTTGGCGGTAATGAAAATGAAGTAGCGGTTGATCATTGATGGGGTAATGGTGGGGAGTTGAGAGAGTTTTGGTTTTGGTATTAGTGCAAATAAAATTTAAAATTTAGTACATCTGCTAATAAGTTCATAATAATGCTGTTTGAATTTGGTGTCGCGCGTGAGGTAAATTCCTCTTAAAATATTCCAAAAGGATAACAAAGGCTGATAAATCCAGACATATGAATCTTGCAAGGTTTATTTACAGCTGCACCTAACAAACCAACCTTGTTCGCTTCATTACAATTCCTTATATCCCACATAAACATAAAAATCCAGATCTCCAGTTACATTAAGGGGTAAAGAAAAGACTATATATATTAAAACTACATAAACAAAACTTGAAAACATTCTTTGTAGACTCACTACCAACACCAGAAAGAGCTCAACAATGTAACTAGCCCAACAACAGCAAACAAACAAGAAAATAGAAACTTATCCACTTAAAAATAACTAAACCTGGCTGCAGCAACACCCCAGACTCTCAGGATATATATATTGTTGAATCAGTTCAACCTCCTCCTCCTCGGGGCACGCGAATCCCCACTGTCCACGTCAGAGATTCTAGAAGCGTCGGGCCGCCTTCTAGAAGATGATGTCGAGAGCGACACCCTCGAGTCGATCTCGATGGCATTGTCCACCGTTTGGCTCTCCGAATGTATAACGGCAGCAATACTTGAGACCGAGTCTCGATCATCCACCGGCGGCGGCAGCTCCTGATTCCTCTCCACATGGCCGCTGTTGAAATACGACTCCACCGCTGCCAGGCTCTCGGCCGACGGCAGGGCTGCCGCCAGGTTGGACAGTGAGGCCGCCCTGTGAGAGCTCGACCGCCGGAGCAAATGCGGCGCTATCCGACGGCCGGTAATATTATTGCCGTTATTATTATTGATAACGATACTGATATTATTATGATTGTGGCCGTTATTGTTAGCAGCAGCAGCGTCCCTCGCGTCGTAGTTTTCGGTCAAGTCGATGACATCATCCGGCGCCACCATCAGTGGGGCCCGCTCCCTCCGCATCCCCCTCGAAGTCAGGATCCGGTTGAGAAGGTTGGTACCGCTGTGGATGGCCACGTCGGGCGACTCGCGGGTCCCACCGGGGCTCCGGGAATGTGCACTCGGAAGCTCACGACTGAGGTCAAATGTGCTCCCGAGCCGCCGGATCATCTCCTCCATGGGGATGGTGAAAGCCGAGCGCTGGATGGCCTGCCGCCAGCTCTCAACTCTCCGGGCCTGCGGTCTCAGAGGAATCTTTAGGCTAGAGTCCGAGTCGGGCTCCCCAACAGTGCAAGCATTAGTACTACCGGTCGAGTTCGTATTGCCACGGCCGTAAATCGGAGTCACGTTTTTCATGGTGACCTCGCCTTTGCAGACGGGGCATTCCTTGGCATCCGAGTGGTGGTGCAGCCAACGGTAGAGACAGGGCCAGCAAAACAAATGGCCGCAGCAAGTGACAACCGGGTCCTTGGCCAAATCCAAGCATATGTTGCAGTCAAAAAAACTGCCTTCGTCCGTGTTATTCTTGCCACCATCTTTCTTTTTATCATCAACGCCAACTGATATGTAACCGGCGGCAGTTTCGCACACCTTGGCCTCGTCAGCCGGCCGCCCATCTGAGGCGGCACTGCCCTCACCAGCCTCAGGAGGACCACCGAGGTTTCTATTCTCGCGTGGGATAGGGATTTGCCGCCACAAAGACCGCCAGCGGTGATTGCGGACTTCTCTGACTCGGACAGGGCTGTCCAGCCACTCTTCCAAGTTCATGGGCACGTTCGCGTAAGGACCAGGGGAAGGCTCGCTATCCTCGCTCGAGTGGTCGACGGGCCCCAAATTGAGGTCCAGGTTCATTGTGGTGGTGTTCTCTTCTGCCATTTCCAGAATTCACACAAGTGCCAAAACTTTTCTAAACAGAGAGAGGTAGTACAAGAGGTTGAGTGACTAATTGCTACTGCCTTTTTGGACAAAATCGAAACTTTATTCGGGCCAAAAATCTTGGCTCCTTTTATAACAGGCTGGCTAAATCACAATTCACAAATCATACCGGAAATTGAGAATCGAGTGAACCATCAAGAGTGAAATAGATTAAAAACCCAGCTGACTTTTTCAAACAAATATTAAAACTCAAAATCCCAAAACTGCACTGGTCAACTGAAACCCTAGTTTCTGCAAGCGTGTCGACCAAGACAAAAATCCGACGACTCCATAGCTGAAAACGAGCAAAAGAAAAAACCAAGTGGGCCACTGAGATTAATGACCAAAATAGAATCTTTTTTTTTTTGTCTAATTTAAGCACAACAATCAAATTAATCACCATACCTGCAAACAGTATCAAGGGTTTCAGCTATACCGGGCCAACAAAAACGCCATCTAGATACTGAATTTTAGCTGCAAAACAGTTGAATCAAGCAAGATGGAGACAAGAGGAGGGACCTTGGAGAAGAAAGGACTGTATTTCTGACGAGCAGACAATATAGAAAGATTGAACCTTTTTCAGGTCGTGAACAATAATATAGGCCGGTGGGTTTTTATGGCTTATTATAGAAAATAGGAATTTTGCATTTAATTTAACTCCCCATTTTTTTTTTTTTCTTTCTGAGTGAGAAAATAGGGATCTGGGGTTTGTGATTTTGGGGGGAGGAAGATGAGATAATTGTGCGAGTTGGGTTCAACTCGGACGAATTGAAGCGGGGGAGAGAGAGAGAGAGGGAAATATTCTCCGCGAGTAGTGAAATTTTTGGTGCAGCTGGACACCTGAGGGGGTGGGACCCACAAACGACACGTCAGCGTTCGAGTAAAGATGTTGGGTACAGTTGGTGTATTGGACTGGGTGATGTGGGCTGAGTTGGTCAGATTGGATTTTGGGTTGGATGTGAGGCCCAGACTTTTAATTGAGAAGGACAAGGAATTTACTCATGTGATTTTTTTGGTCTATTGTTTGTTTATTCTCATAAAAGATTGGGCTCACGATCTTAATTCGAGTTTTAATCTTGCATCATTTAAGTCACTTCGTCCATAATATAAAAATTATGGATGAATGTTGTAATCCTGAAGTTCCAGTGCATTATTATTATTATTATTATTATTATTATTATTATTATTATTATTATTATTATTTTTTCTCAATTGGTAAAACCGTAAAAGCAACAAATGTATTTTTAGATTTGAGGTCAATTTGAAATAGAAACTCAAACATAATACGAAAGAAACCTCTAATATTTTAAAGTTGTAAAAAAACAGAGTCATACTTAAATTTCTTATACTAGTGCTTGAATTCGAAGATAGATTAACTCGAGTTTGGCTATTAAGGAGTCTATACAAATCGACGTTGAGTTCTAATAAGTCAAACTATGTTAAAATTTTAAGAAATTAAGCAAAAATTCTTATTTTTCAAGCCTCATGATCTCTCATGATCTTTAAGGAGGCGAGGCGAGACAAGTTGAGTTCATGAGCAAGTTAAAGAATCACATATTTTTCCGAAATTTTAATGAAAATTAAGAATATATTTGGTTGTTGCCCAAACCTTTCTTTCATGTTTGTGCTACGTTGCTAAAGTTATTGTTTGGAGTCTATGTTTTACTATCTACAATTTTAATAAATATACATTCAAATATCATAAATTAAAAACCAATATAAATAAAATTACTCAAATATCATACGTTAAAAAATAATATAAATAAAATCATGATATTTTATAATATAATACACATTTTCTATTTAATTTAATATACCTTTTGATTATTTTATATAATAATTTGCGGGCCAAACTTTGTTACATCCCAAACTAACTTGTACCCCAATAATTTTCTCATGAATTGGGTATTTTGAATACTTGATGCGAAATTCCATATTCTTAATTAAGTTTGGGAGAAATGCTACAGTTCTGTTACGGAATCATTTTGTCAGAATTTGTAACCGTTAGATCATCATGTAACCGTCATTCGTAGTTGATCTAACGGTTACAAACCTCGACGGAATGATTCCGTAACGGGACCGCAGAATCTCCCTAAGTTTGGTAGTAGGTACGTAGTTGTGTGAATTTTCATATCTGTAAATGAAAAACATGTTTTGCTTTGTAGTGCATGAATTGGTGTTTGAATGTAGCGGACTTATAATAATAAGTAGTTTATTGATCACAATTTTTCATACATATGTCATAAACTTTCTTGCTAACTAAAGTTTTCTTCATCTGTTCACAATCACGTCGACAGTAACAGTAAGTCACCCGACCAAGAAAAAAAATAATTAATCAAAATTAAAAAAAAAAAATAAGCGAAAAAAAAGGGAGCCATGTATTCATTCAGAGTAATGCTACATTGCCAACCTAGTATACAACTAGGTTGACAACACAAGTGAAAAACATTCAAGAAAATAAAAATAAAAAAAATACACAAGTGGATGTTTTCACTTGTGTTGTCAACATAGTTGCTTACTTAGTTGGTAATGTAGCATTTTTCATTCATAAATAAAGAGTAACAAACATAGAACAACATTCATACATAGGTAAATTTTGAAAACCAAACATATAACAGACACATTACAACACTTAAAACTCATTCAAACGTGACTTGCAACACATACATAATATACGTAGCCAAAATAAATATCACAATTAATCACAAAAGTTGGTAATACTAATACTTAACCAAATAGCTAGATATATATAGGACTGATGAAACCATGCAATATTATTTCAATTAATCATCCTGCAATTTGCCCTGATTTCCCCCCCACTCTGCTGCCCCGACCCAAGATTCCCCATCCTCACCATCGACGCCACGAAGTTCTTTAAAAATGCATTTTGGTTGCTGCTAAACTGCTGCACAGTCCTTCTTATCTCCGGGCCCGAATTTGAGAACAGCTCTTGATCCGACTGCAGCAGCCCCCGACCCGTCACCAGGTTCTTATAATACCCATTGTCGAATGTGTTCGGGGTCGACTGGTCCAGGTTCGTCACCACCAAAGTCAAGTTCGCCCCGTTTTGCGGGCACACCCGCCTTAGCCTCTCCAGATAGGACGGGTTCAGCGTCGGGTCCGGCTGTCCCGTCCCGCTGAAATTGTACAGCCGAGACATGAAAACCGAGCACCGCGCCCGCCCGAACGTGTGGGCCCCTAAAAAGTTGAATCATCTTTTTATTACATATATAATAAGACAATTTCCAATCCAAAAACTCAATCACAAACTGTCACATCAAGCATTATATTAATTCTTCTTCAACCATTATAATTTATAAGTACTCGATAATATTGCGACATATTAAGTATGATTTTGGAAGTTTGAATCTTTTCTGCTACATAATGTGCGTATATGTACAAGTTGTTGTTATAAGATCATTAATTTCCAACCTAAAAACTCATACAAAATGCAGTAACTCATGATGTCACATCGAATCAACAGTAATTTTTCTCCAACCATTATAAGTACCTGCTAATGCGACAAGGTCGTTAACGTTGAGACCAACGGCAACGAATTTATTTGTAATATTAGGTATGATTTCGAACGGAGATGGGATAGCCACGTTCGCTAATGCCCTGTTTGCCGTTCTGCTGTCTTTCCTGCCGCATGGCACGGCCCACGACGGGCCTCCCGCCTACAAAATTAAAATATAAAATTATTTCTTTTCCCGAGGATAAAATAATACAGCCATTTACGTCGGGAGATATATTACTAGAGATACGGCAGCTTGAGAAGCAAGGGCAAGAATGTCGGCACACGACACAACCCCAGGGCACGACTGCTCCAGGGCGGACTTTATGTTATCCACGACGTCAAATCCACGAGCCGAGTTCACATTTGGGCCCGCGCTTTTCTCGCTCTGTATGGAATTCGTTATGTTATCGTCCAACAACACCGATCCATCACATCCCTGAAAAAATAAATAATAATATGTATATGTATATATATACGCACACACATAAATGCATATTAATGAAGAAAATGTAGCAAATGTGTGCTTAGAAATAATAATCGAGACCTGAACGAAGCAGTCATGGAAATGGAGGCGAGTGAGGCTAGCACCGATTCGTGGATCGTTAGCTAAAGCTTGACTGATTTGATTAGAAACAATATTCAACACATTGGGGCAGGTGTTGGAGTAAAATGTGGTGCTTAGCTGAGCATGAGATATGATAGGGAGTATGAAAAAAATGGCTGTGACAGTTAGTATAGGAAAGAATGAAGAAAAGGAGAACATTTTGTTTAATTTAGCTTAATGTACGTTGCAAATTAAGAATGCATACGTTGTTGATTTGTTGGGGGCTTCAAGTAGATAACATATTTATAGTGAAAAAAATGAGACTCTCATTTTTGAATGTGCAAGCTAGAAACCAGCTGCCAAGCATCTTGATTTTGTTCTTTTTTTTTTTTTTGTGTGTGTGTGTGTGTGTGTGTTTTCTTTATTTTTATCTTTTTCTTTCTTTTTAATTACCTTGGGAGAGGTAATTATTTTCTTTGGCATGCTATAGGTAGGGGTGACAATTTGAAAAAAAATCAGTCAAAAGATATATGTAACAACAATTATATAAAGAGCAGTTGAGTTACCATTAGCTATAGTACTACTTCATTCTCCTCTGCACATGCACAGTGATATATATATATAGTACTTGAATTCGACTTAATAATAAGTATTACTACTTTCATTCTCGGCATTACGTTACGTACGATCCGATTGTCTGGTTAAGTTTATAAGTTCCCGTTAATGAATAATATACTTGATATATTCTGCACATAAACGGGTTATACATATAATCTGCATGCGCACCGTTGGATGATTGGTGCCTAAGTATTTTGTTTGTATATGTCTGTCGGATAAAATATAGTAGTTAATAGCATTTTAAGTACCATTTGATGATTTAATTGTTAGTGATTTGGATTTAAGATATATGTTGTAATATTTGAGACCAACGTCTCAATTAATTTAGCTACCGCGCGCGCGCAATCAAGGAGACA